TAGTTTGAGGCTGTTGCTGGCTTTATCCTATCAAACTGCATGTAATACCCTAAAATCCACTAAAAACCTTTGTATTTGAGTGTAAATACCTTCCAAGATGATGTTGTTTAATAATTTGCATGAAAACATCTAGCCAGGGGCTCTGGGTGGCTCAATCATTAAGTGTCTGCCTTCGCCTCAGGTCATGATCCCAGGGTCCTGGGATGGAGCCCCACGTCAGGCTCCCTGCTCCGCGGGAAGCCTGCTTCTCCCTCTCCCACTCCCCCTGCTTGTGTTCCCTCTCTCGCTGTGTCTCTCTCTGTCAAATAAATAAATAAAATATTAAAAAAAAAAAAAATCTAGCCAGAAGTATAGTAGAGAAACAAGATGACTCAATTTTGTATTCTGTGCCTATGATAATTAGCTTATATGCCATCATTTTAAAATATTAAACTTTATTTTCTGGAGGAGGGATTGAGGGAAGTTTGAGCGATAGGAAAGGTAAATGAATCAGAAACACACACACATGCGTATACACACGCGCTTGAATTGATTGTAAATAGAGGAGGCGTATTTTAGCTCTCTGAAGTTCTTCACTCTCACATATTTTGAAACCTGAGAAAGTTTTGGTTTGTGTGGTCATGTCATCCAAGGATGACACGAGATATTCTTCAATGATAGCAGGACAGAACAACTGACTCTGATATTCCTGCCCCATGTGTATCAGGGGGGTGAGAAAATTCCTTTTTATAGTCAGGGCATAGATAGTCTTCATTTTTATTTCTCCCAAACACTACAAAGTGAGGTTGCCAAAGTTTGTTGAAGGAGTGAGGTGTGGCTCCCTCTGTTGGTTAGGAGACCCAAAATTCTCCTCGTACACAATCTAAGTGGGATGGAGGCAGGGGACCCGGTAAAGGAAGAAAGAATTCAGCTGATACTTCCTCTTTTTAATTCTGCCCCCCTCAGGCCATTTAATTGTTTTTATACAATTTGGTCTCCTAATTTTCTTTTAGCACGCAGTTAATTTTAACTGACAGTCACTCCTGTAAGACACCAGAACATCAAAATTAGGCTGATTCAGTGTGAATTGTCCTTTATTCCTGAGAATTGTCTTTTATCCTAATCCTGTTGGGATTGGGTTTGGATATATTTTGAGCGATGCGATTTCAGACTGATGTAGTTTAACATAGCTACACATGTCATATATTTGTATATAGCAGAGGAGATGCTATAAATGAATGTGATAGGAAAGAGAATTATGACTTCACCAAATTAGACTTATCCTCAAGCTTATATTTAAAATTCTTTCTGAGCCACTCTTCAACTCTAAACAAAAGCCACAGTAAATAATTATACTTTTCTGCAAGAAAGCATGAGGAATTGTCAGTTATATATAAAAATTATTTGTATATGGTTATATAAATTAAATGTTTTGTGAATGTTTGCCATTTATTTTAGTGTCATACTGCCAGCTAAGTGTGCTGGTTGACAAATTAAATGCAATGACACTTTCCCCAAATCCTGATGCCCTACATAGATGTATGCTTAGTGAATTGGATCACTTGAGCTTTTCTGTTAGGTAAAATCAGGGAATAAATGAAATGTGCATGCTCTCACTGCAAAGTTTAGGGTTAGAGAAAGTGTATTTGTAAAAAATTAGGTAAAAAAAAAAATGCTTCTAAGCCAAAGACAATGTCACATGTATTGGTGAAGAGGAAATTTTGTTGTAAGGCAGTGGATGTAATCAATTGCAATTCCATTATGGTCTTTGTTCTCTTATTAAATCATGACAAACTGTCTAAGAACACGTATTTAATTAGCTACTTTATTTTTTTTTAAGATTTTTATTTATTTATTTGACAGGGAGAGAGGAAGAGAGAGAGAGCACAAGCACAGAGACATTAGGCAGAGGGAGAGGGAGAAGCAGGCTCCCCGCTGAGCAAGGAGCCCGATGCGGAGCTTGATCCCAGGACCCTGGGATCAGGACTTGAGCCAAAGACAGACACTTAACAGCTGAGCCACCCATGGCTCCCCTAAAGAAAGCTTTTTAAAAGTAGAAATATAAAACATCCTAGTTATAATGAGTAGGGTTGTTGTATATGCAGTATAATTTTATGACTAAGGTTCCCCCCCCCCCCCAGTTTACTTACTAGAAAAAAAAATCAGTTTTGGGGATCTTATGTCTCCTGGAGTCCAGAAGACTTTGTGCAAATGCAGAAAACTTAAATAAACTTTGCAATACACATTTTCAGTAAGTTTTAGAAGCAATATAGAGTTTCTAGAACAAAAGTAATAGGATTTTACATAAACTGTAGTGCAGTAACAAGAGGAAAAACATTTGAAAAATTCTCAAACTTAGTTTTTCTTCATTTTTATTTTTATTTCAGGCACACTTTATTGTAATAGAATCAAAATACTTAGTTTTAGTTAAAACTAGCATTTCTTTATTGTACTTTATACTCTTTTGACACTGTATGTGATACTCTTAATTTTAGGTTTAATTAAATTCTCTTTTTTATTTGTTATATGTGACCCTGTGTCACATATAAGAAAAAACATTTAAACAATTTAGTCCGTTAGCTCTAGTACCATGGGCCAAATGTTAAGTCTAAACATATTAGTTGTTTTATATAATTGATATGTATATGTTATTTTATCTAAAGGATAGAGATAGCTACATTTAACTTATTTTGTGTCTCTCTTGGCACAGCGGTGTGTGCATATAGATTTTTAATGAATGTTTGTTGAAAATAATGATGTTGAATCACTTAAGATTTAATGCAGTTTCACCTTGTTTTCTACATTTCAGTTCTGTAAATATAAGGAAGGAGTTGGCAGAAATAAAGTCTAAAATGAAGATAAACTTATTCAATATTTTATCTTTTGATGGAATCCACATCCTAAGTTGAAAATTGTCTCCTAAGTATAGATTTCAGAGTTGCAAGAAGGATCAATAAACTAGTAATTAGATTTGGGACTCTGGTGGATTCAAAAGATTCTCTTGCTTTGTGTATGTGATGAATTCTGATTTTGTATTTTAACTTTGTTACAAAATTAATGCTGTAAGAAATGCTTCAGGAAGTAGAACTTTTATGCATGTTAAAATTCTTTAGCAACTTAATTCTTTTTAAAAGAATTAATTAAATGGTAATTTTTAGAGCTCTTTACTCTAAATGAAATAAATTCAAAGTCATGGTTTCATTCACTATTATGAGTTATGTGTTCTATTATTTATTAATATAGTTTTTAGTTTGGTCTTAGAGGAATCTTTTATAGAACTTCAGGCTCATGATGTATTTCTCAAATTAAAAAAGGGAGGCAGATTCGGCAGCAAATAAGTTTGAGAAATACAACGAGATCTGTTTTAGTCTTAAAGATGTATAATGTACATTCATATGCTGAGACTTAGAAGCCAAAAAGAAATGACTTTAACTTCATTGCTTATTCTAAAGTCAAAGGGCCATAGAATGTCTTGAAGAACTAGTGATTTCTAACTAGTGGAGTGGTATATATTTTAAGAAGCACTAATTTATTGAATTTTTTAGAGTAATTTTCTTCTTAAAAAATATGTATTGCATTTTCTTTTAATAAGATTTTAGAGTATCCGTGTTTTTGATGTTATTTTTGCATAGTGCTCCAGTTACTACTGAAGACGTATGGAAGATGGATTATATTTTCAATCAGTTCAGGAGAAGAAAGGAAAAGGAAATCAGTATAAGTGGATTATTTTAACAGTGCATAGAACTAGTCTTGAAGCCTCAAAGAATAAAACTTTTAAATTCCTTGACAATCATTGTGTTCATTCTTTCCTTTCCATTTTCATTCTGTAACACAATTTATATCCATAATTTATAGTTATGGTGTATTTCAGCAACACTGAGGGCTGGCAGAAGTGTCAGAATACATTTATTCTTGAAGAGCCAATGCTCATTCACCACTTTGGTAGAATATGATAATATTAGTGGGTTAAATAATCTGATTCTTTCGCTGTCTAAATTCAATTGTTCTTGATCCCTTTTCTGAATCTCATGAGGAAATTTCTGCCAATACTGTCCAGATACACCTTTCCTTACTAATTTCAACATGTGATATATATATACATTATATATATATATATATATAATACATATATATGTATTATACATATATATATATATATATATATATATATATATATATATATATATATTTTAAAAGTCACGTTGTGGGCGCCTGGGTGGCTCAGTTGGTTAAGCGACTGCCTTCGGCTCAGGTCATGATCCTGGAGTCCCAGGATCGAGTCCCGCATCGGGCTCCCTGCTCGGCAGGGAGTCTGCTTCTCCCTCTGACCCTCCTCCCTCTCATGCTCTCTGTCTCTCATTCTCTCTGTCTCAAATAAATGAATAAAATCTTTAAAAAAAAAAGAGGGCACCTGGGTGGCTCAGTTGGTTAAGCGACTGCCTTCGGCTCAGGTCGTGATCCTGGAGTCCCGGGATCGAGTCCCGCATCGGGCTCCCTGCTCAGCAGGAAGTCTGCTTCTCCCTCTGACCCTACCCCCTCTCGTGTTCTCTCTCTCATTCTCTCTCTCTCAAATAAATAAATAAAATCTTTAAAAAAAAAAAAGTCACATTGTCAGCAAAGTATTAACAAGCCACATTCTTACATTTTTCTGAAATTATTCTGTTCATAATTTCATGATTTAAGGGTGTGTGTGTGTGTGTATGTTGTGAGTGTGTATATATATAATTTCTTTGCATCATGCATTCTTTATTTTTTCTTGACAAATGGGTCTCAGACCTATGCTGATATACTTTTTCCTCAATGCAATATGTACTTTTCAATATCACTGATACAGTGTTTTAATATGTTTTTAGAAAATATTGGCTAATCTTCATGGATCTTCATGGAGTATTTTATGAGAGGAATATCACGAGGGGTTTATTATTTAAAATATGCATAAAATGTGTTCAGTGCTGGATCCAGTATATTTTTACATTTTTACTCAAATCAATAAAGCCCTCTTCTTTTCTTTTTTTTTATAGAGCAATGAAGTTGTCTACTACAATGCAAAGGATGATCTTGATGTGAGTATTAAAAGTTTTACATTAAATTTCAAGATAAACTGAATTATGCTAGGATGACTGGCTTTACAGAACAAGCTGACCTAGCAGGTTGAATTTTTCAGAAAATGTTCTATAGCATCAGCAGAATTACTGGTTGGACCTAACAAGGTAATGATGAATCTTAGGGCTTATGCTATCTTTAACAAATTATCATTGGCATCTTCTGGGGTAGAAACGCCATGTGTTTCGCTGGATCTGAACTCTCTCTGCCTCCTGTCCAGACCTCCATCCACTGCACTGACTCGGATACCCTGCACTCCATTAGCCATGTGGCAGACAGAGGTTGGGTCCCATCCATCTCTGTCGCCCAGCGCTTTACGCGGGTAACGAGGCAGGTCTCCTCTGGCCTGAACCGCACACACCAGGGGGGACCACTTATTTCCCCTACAGTGTGAACGACACCCTGGAAATGGTACAACAGCTGGCCTTGCCCAGCCAATCTTTGAAGCATAGTGAGTGTTCAGTCTGCCTTTTTAAACAGATGACTGTAATGTACATATTCAGATGATGTTCCAACGTGGATTATTTTAGCACAAATAAGTTACTTCTCATGTTGCCACCTTTGGATGGACTTTCAGGAGACATTTTAATTACTTGGCTACAGTGGAAGCATTTACAAAATTATAAAACAACATTTTACGCTTAAGTTCATTTAAATTATCATATCTGTGACTTTCTTTTATCAGGAAAAAATTTGTATATACACTTGTTTATGTATCCAAAAATGTTTGTTGAGGGCTTCTTGTGTTTTCGGTGTTCTTCCATGAGCTTGGGATGGTTTGTCAGTGAACAAGTCAAACAAATAAAAAAAAAAATTATTGTTTGTTAATCACACTTTTTTTCTGAATCAAAAAAATATATTTGTATACTACTTTTTTCCAGCTACTTCATGGGAGTGTAAAAAAATATATAAATCAAGTAAAGCTGGCCTTCAAAAAACAATTAAAAAACAACACAAGATAGTTGGCTTGAAATGCCACATCTTTCCAAATTGCACCACCACTATTGGTGAACATCATAGTTTATTGAGCACTATTTGCCTGCATGCTGCTAACCACTCTACACAAATTCTTATATTTAATTTCTAAAATGACACTGTGAAGGAAGGAGGTTATGTTTTCTCCATTTAATAAATGAAGAACTAGGATTGTTTTAAAAAGCGTTTTCGGGGCGCCTGGGTGGCTCAGATGGTTAAGCGTCTGCCTTCAGCTCAGGTCATGATCCCAGGGTTCTGGGATCGAGCCCCACATCGGGCTCCTGGCTCAGCCGGAAGTCTGCTCCTCCTTCTCCCTCTGCCTCTCCCACTGCTCATGCTCTCTCTCTCTCTGTATCTCTGTGTCTCTAATGAATAAATAAAATCTTTAAAAAAAAAAAAGCGCGTTTTCTTTTTACTAGCCATAGGTGTTTTGCTAGTGCTTCTATTATAATTATTATCCTTTTATGATAATGATGTATATCATTTTAATGAGGTAGGATGTTTATTAAGGGCAAACCAACAGCTAACACAAAATGTTTTAATAGTTTATTGATTGGGGGGGGCACCTGGGTGGCTCAATCAGTTGAGTGTCTGACTCTTGATTGCGGCTCAGGTCATGATCTTGATGGCTCAGGTGTTGAGATGATGAAACCCAGCATTGGGCTCTGTGCTCACTGGGGAGTCCACTTGAGAGTCTCCTCTCCCTTTCCCTTTGCCCCTCCTTCCCTGCTCACACTGTCTCTCTCTCTCTAAATAAATCTTAAACAATAGTTTACTGATTGGTGTTAGAATGAATTTTATTTTGGACAGACATTTCATTTCACTGTTAAGATTAGTATTTGATATTTAAAAGTTATATAGTCATTTAAAATACAGATGCTAAATCTTTATCAACCTTCCTGGTGGTACACCAGTTACAGCTTTTTAAAGCAGTTAGTTTGTAAAACTATGACAAAGATTTCATAATAAATAAAGTGGATGGATTGACATGCTTGGTCCAATCTGCCAGTTGAGTGTTGCCTAAAGATGATGAACCAATACTGCAAATATGTTTTTCTTTCATCTAAACTAATTAAGAAAGTCCTATTTTTGATGTCACATAAAACAGTTTTATTAAGTCAAGTTTGCTTCTTATTTAGAAAGTTCTTTTATTTTGCATAGAAATTGTGAGTTTTCTTTGTTCAAGATTTTAATAATCACAGGCACAGATGTAGATGCAACTTTTTAGTGAGTGTCACCCCAGTTAGTATTCAGGGGTATAATTGAATAGTACAATAGTAAAATTCATAGTATTCAACCACTATCCTGCAAAGTTAGCAATATGTCCATTATAAATGTAAAAGTATGCACGGGGCGTGTACTTCTAACACTTGAGCTGTGCTCAATGCTCAGGTTCATAATTTGCCTGCACAGATGTTTATTCCTATATTCAAATAAAACTCTGTGTAGGAGAGAAAAGGATTAATACAAGTGAACCTAGTGAACTTGACGTGGTTTTTTTTTTTGCCTTCTCCCATCCCCCAAAAGTCTGTATTATTACCATTGGTTATAAATATACCTAGGGTGCCTGGGTGGCTCAGTTGGTTAAGCAACGTCTGCATTCGGCTCAGGTTATGATCCCAGGGTCCTGGGATCGAGTCCCGCATTGGGCTCCCTGCTCCGCGGGGAGCCTGCATCTCCCTCTGCTTCTCTCTCTCTCTCTGTCTCTCATGAATAAATAAATAAATAATCTTAAAAAAAAAATAAGAACAGTGCCAGAATTATTTGCAAAGAATACTGTATAGTAGGAAGAGGGCTAGGATTGGAATCAGAGACTTTGGTTCACACTCCGTTCCACCCTTAAAACTGTACTCACTCGTAGGGCATGAAAACTTATTAAAATTGGAACTGTTTGCCTCTCACCTAAGACATGCTACAGGTGATGAGATGAGCCACAAATTTCATTGCAGTTCAGAATATTCTTGGAATACTGCTAACAGAGTCAGGTTTGCTGGAAAATTTTACTATTTCATGTAAATTTTTTGAGAACTTATTAAGAACTGCAAGTTAATTTATTTTATATTTCACTAAAACTTTTTATTGGTGAAGATTAAAGTGCTTTAGGTATAATACCATTGCTCTTGGAAACCCTTAGACACTGAATAAAAATGAACCATGTTTAATGATTGGTGTATTGGTTTGGATCTTATAGACCTAAAGTAAAAGTGGCTACAAGTCAAAAATTTATTCCTCTCTCATGTAAACATTCTGGATATAAAGCCTAATGTGGCGAGTCTCAATCTTCTAGGCCCCAGGGCACTTCTTTCAAATTTTCTTCCTTCCTCAGTATAGTTTTTTCATGTTGGGATCCAAGATTGGTGCTCCATCATACACAGTGATTTTTGCTCTCTAGAGAACAGGAAGGAGGCGAGTGGCAGTCGAGGACATGCCTTTTGCCTTTAAGGGTATGTTTGGAAACTGTACACAGTACTTTTATCTGCCTCCATTGCCCAGTTTAGTGCCCAGCCTTGCCAATTTGCATCAGGATGTGGAATATAATCCTCCCCCCAACATAGCATGCACCCAAACAAAATAGAGGGTTCTATTACTAAAGAGAGAACAGAGAGAATGCTTGTTGCAAAATAATTAGCAGCTTATGAACAGATCCTCCATTTGCTCTTCTTGAGATAGTGAAGTTAATTCCAAAATTCTACTATCTGAGTGGCTTCTATCACTTAAATATAGTCAGATCCTTCAACTTGGAACTGAGGAAAAAAATTCTTTTTTACAGTAGAATGTATATAAAATTATATGCTGTATTGAGTATTTTTCAGTTTCCCCTAATGCATGTGTTTTCATCACTACAATCAAATTATTTTCTGCAATGGAAGTAGTATCTTACAATGAAACAAAGTTAAGAAGTGTAAGTAAATGTTGCACTTTGATATTCTACTTTAGGCTTTGCAGTAGTTACACGTTTTTTTGAAGATTGTTGCTTATCTGATGGATGAAGTTGGACTTTCATGGATGGTGAAATTTATAAACCTTACCAAAAGTTTTGCAATAAGAGGTGGCTTAATTGGCTCCTATACTCACAGCGTTATACATGTTGTGCTTGATATTTTATGTATCAAATGTTCACAAATCCTAATGCCATCTCATTGTTTTGGTTCAAATTGGCTTGCTGCCACTGTTCTTTGTCCTGGAATTTTTATATACTTATTTAATTGTGTACAGTATTTTTATTGCTCAAACCCATAAAGCCACATCCATTATTAAAAATTGGTGATTGGAAATTATAGAATGGGAGTTTTCTCTTACACATCAGCAGCTAATATCTAATGAACAGAGGAACTAATTGGAATAGTAAATATCTAGCCAACATTTTCAGTTAATAAATTTGTCCTCATTGTTTGGATGATAATATAAATGTTTGAGAGCTAAATAAAGTTTCTGTTTTAAATGTTATGCCCCCTGCAGGAGACTAAAGGATTGTAAATCCTGAGCCTCTGGCTATGATTTTTAACTTTTTCCCCATTTCTGCATTAGTAGGAGAGGATTCATTTTTCCAACATCATGCCTAGTGGGATGGTGGTCATTTCTCTATTTTGTACTTCTCTTACATCAATCATTTCATTTCCATGTCCATGATGATTGTATGATTTTATTTTATTTTATTTTTTATTTTTTATTTTTTAAAGATTTTATTTATTTATTTGAGAGAGAGAGAATGAGAGAGAGCACATGAGAGGGGGGAGGGTCAGAGGGAGAAGCAGACTCCCTGCCAAGCAGGGAGCCCGATGCGGGACTCGATCCAGGGACTCCAGGATCATGACCTGAGCCGAAGGCAGTCGCTTAACCAACTGAGCCACCCAGGCGCCCTGATTGTATGATTTTAGACATTATTCTCAAATATTTATTTAAGGGCTATTGAAATGGGCTCACATTTTATTTTATGCTTCTAAATTATCCATATACCTTTAGTAATATTATACATTATTAACAT